CACGCTCTAAGTCCTCCTCTGATGCCCTGCCGGCACTGCTTCCGGCCATCCTTAAGCCTGGTTCAGGGTCCACTTAATGTGGACATGCTAGTTCGAATTAGCAAAATGCTAATTCGAACTAGTTTTTTAGTTTAGATGCGTTAGTTCGAATTAGCTTAGTTCGAATTAACTAATTCGAACTAAGTTAGTTCGAATTAACGTTGTAGTGTAGACGTACCCCAAGGCTACGTCTACACTGGCCCCTTTTCCGAAAGGGGCATGTTAATTTCACCCCCCGCGGCATTTAAATAAAAATGTCCACCGCTTTTTTCCAGCTTGTAGAAAAGCCGGAAAAGAGCGTCTACGCTGGCCCCGATCCTCCGGAAAAAAGCCCTTTTCTGGAGGATCTTATTCCTACTTATTATCCAGGATGGGTAAGAATGGTGCCCCAGCCTCTGTTTGTCTGGAAATGGGTGACAGGAGAGGGATCACACGAGGATTACCTGTTGTGTTTCCTCCCTCTGGGGCATCTGGTATTGGCCACTGTCAGCAGGCAGGATACTGGGCTAGATGGACCTTTTGTCTGAACCAGTATGGCCATTTTTATGTTCTTATGTTCTTAGAGCTTATCTGTATTACAAAAATGGCACCAATTTAACTATATCAATCCTGTCCTGGTAAACTACTGACTTAAACTAAAAGAATTAAGTGTGATCTCAGTGATATGCCAGATGGCCCTGTAGAGAGAGGGCAGAGGGAGAAACAGCAAGGAGCTCTTACCAAGAACCAGATTCCAAACTGGCTCAAGAGGCGCTGGTCATGCTTATCATCATCTTTGTTATCAAAGTCAGTGTTGTCTAAAGAATGATGGGAGGAGGAGAGGCCCATCTGCCTCCTACGGTTGAGTTCATACTCCCTCTGCTCAGCATGGAACTCTGCCTCTTTCAGCAAGCTGCAAAACAAGAAGAATGTGGCCAGTGATGGAATCTTCCTGTACTGGAAGTAGGTAGCAGGTCTGTGACTACTTCAAGTTAAAGCACTAGCTTCATTCATCTCCCTAAAATAATGAGGATTCCTATGGCACCTTAAAGACTAACAGATTTATTTGGGCATAAACGTTCGTGGACAAAGACCCACTTTGTCAGGTGCATGCGATGAAGTGGATCTTTGTCCATGAAAGCTTATGCCCAAATAAATCTTTTAGTCTTTAAGATGCCACAGGAATCCTTGTTGTTTTTGCAGATAGAGATTAACATGGCTTCCCTTCTGTGCACAGTGTCCTTTAAGGGTAAAAAAACGAATGAAATTAGATAAAGTCCTAGCTTTCAAGGCCAAATGCTGCCATTCAGACATACACATACAAGTCCCCGGGCTGGATTCTCATCTTTGCTACACCAAGATGATTTCAGTACAGTCACACTAGTTTATGCTGGTGAAACTAGGATCACAATCTGGCACTGGGATTTGCCTAAGATTTGAAAATACAGGTGTGAGGGTTAGGATCTGACCCTGTATGTTTGTCTGCTTCTATACCTGATCACAGCTTCCACTGTACAAACTAGTTCCTCAGCCCCACACTCTCGTGTATTGATTGGGGGAGGAGACGTCTGGTAGAGGTGGGTCTCTGCTGCTGCCCCAACTTCACTGCTGTGATGGTTCGAATGGCATCTTTTGCAGTAGCGCACTGGCCTGTTACCATGGCGGCCACAGCAGCCTGCTGAGAAGCAGGTGACGACGGCCCTTCTGACATGTGAGCTACAGTTCTAGAAACAAACAAATTTTATCGTGGCAGTAAGTGGAACAGAAAACAAGAATGAAAATCAACATAACAGAGCCAAGCTAACATGTTGGCATTTTTTAAATTTCACTAGAGATGGGTCCACAGCCTACCCTTGAAGCCAAGCATCACTAAACTTCAAGGAAAAATACATGTAGACTTAGATCTGAATGTCATGGATAGTAAGTATCCTTTCTCTGTGGCTACGTCTAGACTGCAAGCCTCTTTCCAAACAGGCTTTTTCGAAAGATACTTTCGAAAAAGCCTCTTTTGAAAAAGAGCGTCTAGACTGCAAGCAGTACTTTCGAAAAAGCAAGCCGCTTTTTCGAAAGAAAGCACCCAGGCAGTCTGGATGCTCTCTTTCGAAAAAGCCCTGTTTACATTCAAGAACGCCTTTTTTCGAAAGAGCACTTTCGAAAAAAGGCGTTCTTCCTCGTGAAATGGAGTTTTCCGCCATCGAAAGAAAAGCCGCATTCTTTCGATTTAATTTAGAAAGAACGCGGCTGTAGTCTAGATGCAGGTGAAGTTTTTTCGAAAAAAGGCTACTTTTTTCAAAAAAAACCTTGAATCTGGACACAGCCTGTAATGGGCCAAACCAGTGCCTCAGCCAACAACAAATTGGTTTGGGCAATTTAATTTTCAGTTCACCTGTACCCATTTATTTCTAGGACCACCTATATGCTGATTCAGAGCATTCCCCTTATTCATTGTAGCAGTGTGATAGAAACAAACTAGAAAAACAGAAAGGAAAAGTTCATTGTCGATTGTTTGATACTTGTGTCCTGCAAAATTATCACTCCCCAAATATAGCTCAGAATTTTTGAAAGTTATATATAACTGAGTCAGATCTTTAACTGGTATAAATCCATGTAGCTTCACTGACTTCAGTGGAAATATGCCAATTTTCTCCAACTCAATAGAGGTAACTTTCAAAATTTGTGAAATATAAATTGGTTTCAACTGAGCTATTCTAATTTACACCAATTGAGGTTTTGGCTCAATGTATACATTTTCTTTAGTACATGAGACCTTGAATATGTCTATCCATATTTATTAAATTATTAAGATAACTTTGCAAGTATGTTTTGCAAGCAGATTGGTTTGTCAGTACTCTGTGGACAGTCCAATATTGAAGCGTGAGTTGATCTTTATTTAAGCAAAAATCCACCAACTATAATTATGCCTACTTAAGGACCAATTCAATACTTCAGAATTGTGACCGAGAATATACAAAATGCTAGGATTTTAAATTAGTAGTTCATATTCTTCTCTTTATAAGTAGTATAGAGACTGATAAGATAAATTGAACAATAAGGCTATGTCTACACAGCAACTAGCGTTATTTTGAAATAACACAGTCCGTGTCTACACAGCCGGCAGTTATTTTGACATATTGTCAAAATACTGTCAAGCTGGAGGACTTCTTACTCTGACTCCTGTAACCCTCATTGTATGAGGAATAAGGGAAGTTGGAGAAAGAGTGCCCCATTTCGAATGAAGTGCTGTGTAGACAGAAACAAAACTCGAAATAAGCTATTTCGAAATAAGCTACACAATTGACATAGTTAAATTTGCATAGCTTATTTTTGAGTTAAGCCCTGCTGTGAAGACGCTCCCTAAGACTGCTTAAAATCAAGACCTCAAAATCAAAAGTTAAACTGCAGCAAACAGAGCCAAAACAAATCTCACTGCTAAATCATCCTCATTCCCCTTCAACAAATGAGGTAATGGATATATAATAAAAAAATTTCAGATGGTAAAAAATATGCCACAGTTAATGAGATGAAGTCACGCACAAACACACCAAATCATGTCCCACCACACAAACAACTTAATCTTACCTTCTTTTGACATATAGCAGAAATTTCAGCTGTAAGGGGAAGGCATACAAAATATCAACTCAGTGGTATTACTTTTCTCCTTTACCATGGCAACCATGGGAGAAACAAGTTTTGTTTGTTTTTTTTAAAGCCTCCAGGGTTTGACTTGACTTTCAAAATATTATTCTTTTCCTGTGTCTATATGATGTTTTCCTTTTTGTATCTGGAACACATCAGATGATTGATGTCAACTATACCCAGCCAATGGGATGAACGCTACATGCAAAAATTCCAGTGAAGGGAATGAAAGCTTTGTATGCCTAAGGAGAGCAAAGTCAAGGCCCTGTAATTTGAAGGAAAGTTCTTCATAATAACATTCACTTTCTATCCTAACAGAATGTAAACCAGTGCCCATTCCTCTCTACCGGCAAGTTATAAAAAACTTTACAATGACCTGGGTCCAAGGGCTGATCAAATGTGAACCAGGACGCCTCTCTCCTGCACAGAGGTGGAAGTAAGGGGGTGCACCCTCGTGAGCAGCTCCAGCAAGAACTGGCTGAGCTACTAAAAAAACCAGCAGGGAGCTATTTAACAAGCTGGCAGGGACCCAGGTTGCAATAGGACAGTACTTGTAAGAAATTTAAGTTCCTTTCACCCCTGCTCCTGCATGAATGTGTCATCTCACAGAGAGGACATGTCTCTGAACACACTATTTAAGCATCGTAACACCAGGTTGCTTGGGTCAAGTTAAAATGCTACATGATGAAAACTATAACGTATGTAAGAAAGCAGAGCTATTAGGTCTGAAGTAGGCAAGGCAAGGATTGCTCAGATGTGCCAACTCCTGTGAATTGATCTAAGAGTCGTGATTTCTGAGTAAAATTACAGGAGAACTCTCAAAGTCAGGATTTTGGGGGAGGGGGGCACAGATCATGTGTTTCCAATCAAACAAGAGTCACCCCATTCTAAATAAAGGAACTGGTTTCTCTATTTGGCAGTTAATTACAATATATTTTGAAAGACAATGAAAATGGGTTATCCATATATATAGTAGCCCAATGTCTGTTAGTCTGTAACGGGGGAGGGGGGGGCGGAGAGGGTGAAGAAGGAACTGAGGGGGGGGCTGTATTGATGGTGGATTCTGAGCAGATGTGGGTGAGTGCAGGGAAGATGAACTGAGGAAGGTAGGGGTTGATGAAGGCTGGGGGACCAAGCTGAAGGCAGCTGAACTGAGGGGAGTTGGGTGAGCAGAAAACTGATGGGAGACTGGGGGACAGGATTAATTGCTGGGCCAGAGATAGGCAGATATGGGGGTGAGAGTTCCTGTAGCAGAGGGCAAAAATTACCTTACTCAGTACATATGAGAGGTAGGCAGAGGGAGGTCAGAAAGCAAGAGAATGATCTAAAAACCCCCGCATATTTTTTTTTAATTTCATAATTTGGAGGCAAATCTCATGATTTTGGAAGGTCCGACTCATGATTTCTGTTTTCTTGTAAATTACAATACTCATTTCTGTACTGGAGGGAGAGGATAAAATTGGGCTCACCCAGAGCCACCCTTCCTCCAGCATGCCTCTGCACCAGAACTGTGCTGGGAGACCACTCCACACTGCAGGTATTGGGATCTAGATGGCAACTCCCATCCACCCATCATGTGAGTTTCACAGAAGACAGAAAGTAAGCAAGAGCTAGCCAGAGACTGCAGCTGATGAGGGAAAGCAGCCAAAGCAGGGTCCTTTGGACACCTGGGCATGCAAAGGACTTTCTAGTTTTGTCGGGACCCTCTTTGCCCTGTGCTGACTGGCTGTTTGCTCTACCCCCTCCTCCTCTCTCTCCTTCAGACCTTCTTCTCCTCATCTTCACTCTACACCTGCACCTCTTACCCTCTTCTCCCCTGTCCCACCTAGGGATGTTAAATTTCGATTAATCAACTAATTGAGTAGTCAATGGAATTTTCTACTCGATTAGTTGATAAGTGAGGCTCTCGCTACCCCACTGCGCCTCTCACTTTGAAATGTTCAAGAACCACCCGAGGCTCTTACACATTTCAAGGGAAGAGGCGCAGTGGGGCTGCTTAGGTCCCTGCTCCTGCGCATCTCCCTTTGAAATGTACAAGAGCACAGCAGTCAGGACCCCACTGCACCTCTCCCTTTGAAATGTACAAGAGCTGCAGCCTCCCCTGCTCCCCATGGAGACAGTGCTGGAGGCAACCAGCTTTTAAGAGGCAGTGGGGTGGGAGGAGTGTGAAGAAGCGGGGGGGGGAGGTGTGAAGCGACTAGTCGAGTGACTACTTGACTTATTGGATAGTTGACTAATCACTTACATGCCTAGTCCCACCCTGCACCCATGCTTTCCCTTCCCATTATTTTCCATTTAGCTGATCCCCTCCTATGTAAATCCACACACACCCCAAATGGCAGAACCACAAACATGTTTGCTGCCATCACAGTGTTCATCCTGCTTATGTGTTCTACTCCTTTTCTCAATCTCTGTCTGTCTTGTCTGTTTAGATTGGATACTCTTCTGGGCAGGGACCATCTGCTACTATGTGTCCACACAACACCTAGCATACTGTGGCCTCACTCACCTTATGGACTTCTATAATAAACATGATTAGTAATAATTAGGGTGACCATATTTCCTTATGCTAAATGCAGGGAACCTGATAAAATTACTCATATTCAACTGAGTTCAACAGCAATCATACAAAATGTTCAAATTAACATCAAGTTGACTGAGCTCCTGTTAAAAAAAAAATTCTGTATAGCTTGATGCTTTTTATTTAGCTTCTTATCTTTAAGGTGTTAGGGTTCAAATGGGAGGAGTGGCTGGCACACACACACACAGTCCCATACGCCACTCTCACATGGGGGAAATGACCAACAGACTCAATCTTTCCTGCCTAGAGCTCCTCGCCCTTCAGGACAGGCTGGGCCCCATGACAGACCCACCTCTCCTGGTGTTGGAAAGAAATGGGTTAAGTACATGTTTGATTTATATGGTTGCCATTTTGGTTGAATCTCCATCTTGAATTGGCAAAAGGACAGCCTGGTCTCCATCTTTGCGTCCCTCCTTCTCCAGGCTTTTAGTGTCAAAACAGAGGAAAGGGCAGGAACATGGAGTGCCATGTGACAGTAAATTTGCCCAGCAACAGGAAAGTATATAGAGGAATGTATCTGTCACTCTGAATGCTGTGAAAGCAGGTCATCCCAGTGAGGCACAGAGACCTTCCACAGTAAGCCAGCTTTGCTAAGAGCTAGAGCCAGGAGAGATAACATCTAGAAGAGATCCTTTAACTTAAATCCACAAAACCAGACAGGGAGTGTCCACATACCACACACAGGACAGCGCATCAAGAATGGAAGAAAGAAGACAGAAAATTGAGGGAAGTCAACTTACTGTTCCAGAGGTTCCTGTAATCCAGTTCCTGGGGTTCCTGTGTCCTCCCCTGTGTCATCAAGACATAGTCTAGTGGTCTTACCCTATTGTCTTGCTTCCCTATTGTAAGAGTCTGGGCTCTGGGGTTCATCCCCTATGAAACGGCTGCTCAAAACACTGCCCACGGGCTGCATGTGGCCTGTGCCTCATTTGTTTGTGGCCCACGGGTGGGATCCAAATTAAAAAAGTAGTCAATATAATAGTCCTCAGGGTGGGATCCAAATTAAAAAAGTAGTCAATATAATGGTCCTCAGTTGATAAGCGTTTTAGTAGTTAAATTCCTGGACTGTCATTGCTCATTAAAAGTGCTGTCATATGGGTGGAAATCGAGTAAATATTGCATTTTATTAATATCAGCAGAACTTACTTTAATGCATGTTGTGTAGTCTTGCTTTAATCTTTGTATTCACGCCTGTCAGTGTGAAAGAAACTATTTGCATTTATATGCATATATATTTGCATGTCTACACAACCACACTTAAGTTGCAGCCCTTGGCATGTGCTGTGAGTATCTTTGTGGCCCCCACGGCTTCCAAAGTGAGTAGCCCTGCCCTATGGTAACATCTGTGCTAACATCCAAGCCGTTGTTGTTAGGTTGCAGGAAGTCCTAGTTTGTTTATTTGTGTTATCTAATAAAGATCTTGTTTTATGTAACCCTCCTGTATCTCAACTACACTAAACACCAATGATCGATATGGAGGCAGTAGAATACTGCAGACAGCCCATCTTCTGACCAGTAAAATCACAGATCTAACTGTTTCAGGCTAACAGTTATGGTGACCGCAGCAGGACTCCATAGCTGTTTAATCTATTTTTATTTGGGTTTGGTTTTGTTCTTGGCTCTGTTTGCACACAACCAGCAGGCTGAGTGGGAAGGCTGTCACTACCGAGGGCACCAGAGTGGCAACAGCAGGCTAGGCCAGGAAGGCCACCAGTTGGTGGACCACTGTGAAGCCTCACTAGGAGGTAGGCCACTGGGCCAACAGCTAATGTGTGTAGATTCCCGCAACATCTGGCTCTCTACCTAGTGGGAGTCTAGGATGGGTGGCTACCAACAATTGGGATCTCCCACCAGAGAGGGTGTCCGGGACGGTTAGGTGGCATTTGAATGAAACCTTGGCCTGGCCTGTGTGCAGGAGGGGTGAAACCTGGCTCATGTGCAGGAGGGGTACTGTTTTCTGCAGTGTTAAAGTTGTGCAGCAGGATGATACGGCCTCCTTCCAGTGGGCCCGAACAGTGTGGGTGCAGTCTGTTTCTAGAAACTGCTTGCCTGCATGTTCTGGCTACTGGGTCAGAAAAGAAGCAGCAGTCAGATTGTGGCAAGAAAGCACTACTCAGGCCGTGTGCTGCAGCATAGGCCCAGCCCATTAGGTGGTGCTAGCCTGGATCCATGGTGGGCTAATGACATATCATTGGAGCAGGGCTGTAGAGTTCCTAGCCCAGCACCAGAGGACTCACCCCATCCTCCTAGAACCACGCCACTAACGGTTCAGCTATACTCAGCCACCACTGAGTGCCAAGGAACCTGTAGCCAAGTGGGTTGCAGCTGAGAGACTATAAATCTCACGTCCATATCTGGGTGGAACTGCTCCATTCAAGATGAGTGCCCGGA